CTCCGCCCAAGGTCGGAGGACGGTGACCTAGGGCGGAGAGCCAGAACCGGCCAATCTTTACTACTGACTTTCAATTCAAAGCCACTCACTAGGAACGATGTGCTGAGCAGATGGTGTTTTTCGGCTTTGGCTGCATTCTCGTACATTTCCAACATACTGTCTACGTCTCGATCATGATCACCACTGGATATAGGCGGGAATGGGATATTACTGCTAACTACCGATATACCACTATCTTGACTCGACATGTCGATTAAAACTGAGAATGAAACCGGCTTCGAGCAGCTATTTATATCCCTCCATCTCTCCATGATGATCACACGAAAGGCCCCTGACTTGTTGAAATCTGTCTGTATTTTCCATAAGAATCTACACTAAATCGACATTATCTATCCAACTGTTATGTTTCTTGTCGAGTCCCAACCACTTGACGTACATTCTCTTTCCTCTTTTCTTCAGCACTTTTTCAATGAAATAGATGTCGGGATTCTTTGTCTCTTGTAATTCCTCCTCATAGAATGCGCCACTGATTGGCTGTCCATGCATGTCTTCGAGTAGGTAAGTAACAGGATTGGTTATCTTCACATTGACAATTTTGAATAACTCTGTCGTCCAGCTAGGTGTATAGCCTTTTTCGAAAATATGTTTCGCCTTAGATATGCGTACAATGTTGCCAACTTTCAGTTTACGTGGACCTGCGATTTTCAAATGGCTAAAGCTTTGGTGTAAAATATCTTTCTCGTTTTCCTTGTTCACCTCTGAGGGTTTGAATCGAGTCGTTGTGTGCTTGGTATTATTGTATTCATCAACGATCTGACGTAATATATCAATCTATTTGTAGGTGCCATTCAGACTGAAATATTTGTATAGTTTGTTTTTCAGCGTTCTTATTACTCGTTCAGCAATGGCAGCCTTTTTAATGCTGAATGTGTTGTAATGGTTGATGTCATATTTTTTCATCAATTTTTCAAACTTGCTGTTGAAGAATTCCGTTCCTTGATCAGACTGTAGATTTACTGGTATGCGCTTTGCATGTACCAATATATCGGCGAAAGATTTGGCAACCTCTTCTCCTGTCTTAGTTTTTAGTGGGCGTGTCCAGAGGTACTTGGAAAAGCAGTAAATCACTACCAGAATCATTTCATATCCTTTATTCTGATGGGCATACGGTCTCATCTTAGCCAAATCCATTTGCCATAAATCGTCCAATCCTTTGATTATGGTTCGTCGTCTGGGGTAATTTTTGCGAGCTGGAGCATGCAGCTCATTAACAAGTTGAATCTTGTCTCTCGAAGCCATAACGGTATATCAACTATTTTTATGTCAATTCTTTTATCTCATTGGTGGTCAATTGTGTCTGTTCCATCGATTCTTCATTCAATATCTCCTCTCTGTCAACAGCTCTCTCAGCCAGCTTGAAATCAGATCTCATTCGTGAAATAACACCATCTACATAATTTATCGTAGCCATATGTTCCGTTGGAGGATGTCTTGGAATAAACTTTTCAATATCCTTTATTTTGCTATCGATCATTCTCAATATCAGTCGACTGCCTGATGATGGTATTTAATGAGACGAGTTTATGTTTCAATTGGACTAATTCGATGATGTTACCGCTGCTGCCAGCTGATCTGCGGCCGAACTTGTCAAGACTCATGATTGACGACTCTCAGTATATAAGATTAGCTTCACGAAGTTCATTGACGATTGTCACTATTTCATTATCGAGTGATGTGTTTCCAGCTTCCTTAGAAGCAATGAGTAGTTTCAAGCGGTCTACGAGTTCATTTGGATCGTCCCAATAGATATATTCCACGGGGTTTTCGTTGTACGTCAAACCACTACCAATCGTTGAACGCCTACCGCTGTTTTTTCGAATCTGTACAATAAGTGGCTTGATGACGTTCGTATACTTCCATCTCTTAGACCCTTTCAATTTTCCATCCTTGTTTATATAGCGATCACTCAGCTTCAAAATTTCCTTGTAAGCCTGCTCATCTTCATCGTTATAATCTGAAGGATCATCATAGAAAATGAGCTGATACACCCCTGGAGTTCCTCGTACTTGTTTACCACCAATCTTTATGAATCCAGTTCTTTTATCAAAGTCAATTTCCTGCGTCCCCAGAAACCATTTCGGCGTTTGAGGATCGTAAGTTGGACCATACATCTGATCTATTTTGTCGCTGTGATCCCAATGTTCTCTGAGATATGGATGCACCATGACTGGGTATTGGTCTAGGTATTCATCGATTACATCATACGGAATACTTTGTTCTGGAGTGATATTTTCGTTCAACAGGATATCATCATCATATTCGTATTGATCATCATCATCCACAAAACTTCCGGTTCCACCCACCTCTTCCATTGGAATAAACTGCGTTTGCTGAGCCTGTTCTTCTTCTTTTTTCAGTTCAGGTGGCTCTTCTTTCTTCATACCGGTGCTAAACTGGGCTCTTGCCAGTAAATCACGATTGGCCTTTGACGTTTTCACAATTTCTTCCAATGGTTTGGATATGGGCTTGAACATTTTGTTCAGCGATTCGTCCTCCTCAGATTTACCCAGTTTCAAGGCCAAGTACTTTTTTCTGATTGTACGCGTGAGCTCTGCAATTTTCCGTTTACGTGCTGCAGCCTGATCGTCATTACGTTTGGATGGCATTCTTCTTCTGCGCATGACTTGACTTGACGACTTCATGATGTCGAATGACGTGTCTACACTTTTATATATTTGTCGAAACCTTGGCGATATCTGCCGTTATGCGAATCAAAATCCTTGACAATCACTAGAGTACCATATGTGACACTCCAACATTCGGAGCACAATTTTCCATCAATTTATGTCGCAGCAAGTCGATGAAGATGTTCCACTCCAACACACCAAAAGATATTTTGTTTGGTGTCATGTAAGGTAATATAACTATGGCTGGACTGAATATTCTGGCTGGACTCAAACCGACTTTAGTAGTAAAGATTGGCCGGTTCTGGCTCTCCGCCCTAGGTCACCGTCCTCCGACCTTGGGCGGAGTGACCTTGGGCGGGAGTGACCTTGGGCGGGAGTGACCTTGAACGGGTCTGACCTTGGGCGGGAGTAACCTCGTATAGTGAAGTGTCGACAGCACGCCCTTGAACGCGGAGGTGACCTTGAGGGCGAGACAAAGTGACCTTGAAGGAAGGTTGTACGAGTAACCTTCGCATATGTGACCTTGGGAACGAGTGACCTTGAGTTGTAGAGAGAGAGAGAGACCTCGACCTTGGAGAGGGAGGTGAAAGCGTGTGCGACCTTGAAAATGGGAGTAGGCTGGTCGACGTCGTTTTGGTAGAAGTGGGGTGCTGTGTTACGTCACATATCCCAGTTCCTATAAATACATCATTGTATCGTCTGCGAGAGCATAGTTCTCCTAATAATACGGAAGATACGCACCACCAACTCGCACATAAAAAATATACCCGCTCAAATTGATTGGGAATATAAAGTGTTTGCAATAAAAGTGTACGTGAACTGTTATATGTAAGTAAAAATTATTTATATACTTTTTACACCTCTTTTCACTCAACAAAGAAGAATTTATAATGGCAGCTCCTAAAATTGATTTGTTAACGATAAATAATCGAATTAACGAAGACAATGATATTATCAAGCAAACTGTTATCTCATCACTACTCTTGAATAAAAGCTATGTGGTCAAGAAAATATCACTATGTGGAACCAGGTTTGGTAGGAGCGGTTCTGTAATATTGTACGATGAAGAAACTGAGGCTAGTCTGAAATGTTGGTTGCCCAAAAGAGTTGTAGAGTTGCTGAGTGACAGCGACATTGATGAGATGAATTCTTCAAATGGTCTTTATACTCTAGCATATTTGGGCCAGAGTGAGCCATTATATGTAGGTGCAAAAACGAGGGCTCTCATCAAGTTTGACTTCAAGCAAAATTAATTCGGAATTATTCTACTTAATTATTTCTGATAGGTTTTTTTAGTATAGTTTAGTGAAAAGGGTTTAAAAATTATATGATAATTATTATTACATTAACACAAGCCACTAACGCAGATCGTACCGTTTGCGGTAAGTAATAATTTAGGTTCCAAAAAGAATTCAATGAAAGACAAATCTCCCAAATAATCTCATCATTACCAAACTTTTTTTTATCATTTACAGACTCCTGTTCCCCAACATGTGGATGTATTATTCTAGTCAATTCTGGCCGGCAGCGGAAGACATCAAATCAGCAGTGAGCAGGTTGAAATGTCAGTTCTCTGATTTGTCACGTGATGCAATGCATGCGACAAATTATGATTTGAGCATATGCTTCGATCGAGAACAAGTTGAACGACTCTGTAAACAAGCCGAACAATATAGAAAGGGTTATATGTTATGCGCCCGGTTCGAATATGGTAGCTTCACTTTGGAGGAATTTCTTGAAGCAATGGTGGGAGAGGACTTGGACCAATTTCTGTATGAAATTTTTGATTTCCTACCAAACAGCCTGATACGGAAGTACAACTTGGGGGTAATTCCAAAATCATCCGACAACGAGGAGGAAGGAGAAGAAGAATCGAAATGATGATATTGCTAAGAGATGCTTCAATCATACTATTATCATTTGCATGTATATATATAAATTATGGAATGATGATGATGAGCTCGCATTTTTCATTGTCTATCAATCAAGAAATAAAAACGATGATTTGTAAAACATTTGTTTACTTTTATTCAATTTAGTGCAGATACATGTGTCGATAATAATAATAATAATAATAATAATAATCATGATGATAATAAATAATAATGAACATAATAATAATAATGAAAAAACTGATCTAATACAATTATAGGCTTTGAATGCTCATGGTCGGCTGTGGCGGTGGTGGTGGAGGTGGACGGAGGCTAGAATTTGCTCCAGATCTGTAGAGTGTATTCAAGGAGCACCCAACTGTATTGAACCATCTAGTGCGCTATATGTCAAAAATGCATCGTGAAGAATGAGCGCATATACCTTGGTATTAGATGGAAATTTCGATTGGCGTGTCTCAAACTCCAACTTGATATCGACAGTTGAAGATTTCAATGTGTCCGGTTGATGGCTGCAGTCTATGATGAATAACGGATTTTTTCTAAACTGCTCAATACTCATCATTGGTTCGCTCATGTCTTTACCATAATAGCTTCGTTGGAAATTATCGTATGCATAATAGGCTACAGCATCTAACTTTTTTCCAAAATCCAAATTCCACCGTTCATAAGGGTAAACTTCCGAATTCAAATACAGTCGAATATTGTTGACTCCCGCATGAATGAATTGGGTGGTATCCTTGGATCTATTATCTGTGTTACCAGAATTTTGGAAGCCTATGATAATGTACCTTGGTCGCTCGAGACTATTGGTGGTTTTAACAGCCCAAATGTCTGAAGATGTTTCACGAATTGACGGTAATTCATACAGATCCCACATCCTGTATGCAATTTTCACTTTTGCTGTAGAACTTTTATTGAGACGGTTCAGTAATTTCAACCTCTGCTTATCCGATGGCATAATATGTCCTATCTTCCATTCGATTTTGTTAATCTCCACACTGGCATCAACTTCTCCTATATAGCAGTTTTTGAATGATCGAGCTATGATGAGTATCAGCTCCTGTTTCACATTCAATATACCTTTATTATAATCCTCAGCGAACCCCATTAAATATTTTAGCGGTAGTTTTCCACTGAATATGTGACTAGATTTGTCTAGAATTGGCTGATTTTCGCTATCAATTCCCCATCCGACTGTTTCAAGAAATTTAGCGTTAGAATCTCCATAAGAGATCATGCTCTTCATTGTGGTAGTAATGCCTGGTTTTCGAATCATACATACTTGTTCGCCACCCATTTCATAACGAATTTCATCGAAAAGGAAGGCTAAGGTATTGTTAGATAGATAGCAGGATTTCGTTGCATCATCTGGTGTGAATTTCCCCTCAATATATATGTAGCTATCAGAAATATCGAGTATCAAATCTTGAAAGTTGACAGCTATCCTGATTTCATCAGAATTCTTGAATGATGGTGAACCATATGGTTTGTATGTATGCTCATGTAGGCTAATTAGTGAATGATCGAAAATTGGTTCATCAAACACCTCCAATTGTAAGCTAGTAGAACTTGTGACAACCATTGTTCACTAATTTCTACTCGTTCGTCGTCGTCTTTGTCGTACTGTCAGACCAATAGATTCCAAAAAAATTATATCGCTCGCAGATAATCTATGACGTCCTACCTGACCGGTGAGCTGTCTTTGAATGAATCCTCTACCCCGTTTACACTTCTTCTTAACGGTAGTGTGTAGAATAGTGGGGTTTGCAGCGAGAGATACACGTTTTGATTGGTTTCCGAAGCAGAAACCCATTTTTCCAAACCGTTGTAATAATTAATCGAGCTGTTTCAATTCCAATTTCACTATAATCTTCTCTCCGCGAAAGTCAACTAATCGGTCATTATCATCCAAAATTCTCAGTGTGATGTTGTCGATAGACTGACGCCCTGTCGGACTGATTGGTAGATATATAATATTTTTCGGCTCCTTTGAGAGTTTGTATCCAGGCTCCACATCGACATCGAACTCGTAAAGCGTGTGAACCTCCTCACCATTGAGGTACGCTCCAGTAGTGATATTACAATCAACCCGTATCAATCGTACCTTTATGATGTTCACAGGTAAAGTGGATTCATGCAAAACATTGGGCTTGTTATATTTCGGTTCAAAGCCCAAGACTTTGGCTATAGAATCGTTAATACTCAAAATTAACATAATTTCGGACTTGAGTTCACATTTGAGCGTATTATTGTTAGCTCGAAGGGAGAATACATCATCAATATTTCGCCCATTCAGCGGAGTCCAACTCTCTATAGCCTTTTGTATTGCTCTATTGATTTCATCTATCTCATAGGCGCCTGGTGGTATCTGAAGAACAACGCTTCCCTCTTCGAACCAAATACCTAATTTGTTATTTGTCTCATCTATTTTGAGTATAGAGTTGTATGAATAGAAACCGTGTAACCCCAAGCCGTAAGTATTCCTCACATCGAGTTCGATTGGTGGAAAAAAATCTGCACTCAAGATACTGCGATCTCCAGAAATGGTGAATGTTTGCGACATAACTTTTTACAATTGGAAAAGCAAACACAGCAAAAACCAAACAACAAGCTTCAGTGTATACAGCAGCAGTAGTAAGAAGTATCAACCTTATTGCTGCCTGCAACAATGAAGAATGTTCTTGTTTTCGTTCGGCGAAGCATTAATATCGAATTTATTGTTAGTTGCCACATTTACATCTTCTATTTGACAAAAGCAGCATAATATTTTTCTTGGTATCGGCCCATCATTGACATCTGCGCTGGAATGGTCACTATCCTCTTGGCGGCGGTGTTCGTGGTGCTCCTCACAAAATCGATATTTTGATACATCTTGATCGTTGCGTAATTGTTCAGGTAATTTATCCCACACTAGAGCTATCTCATGTGAAGCGCATCCGATTGAAACCTCTTTCGGCATATCAGCGAGCTGTTTCTCACTCATCTTCAGCAAAGATCGTAATCTCGAGTAAGCCAATAATGCGTGCCCCATTTGTTTGATGCTTTTTCTATCCATATTATAATACGTAGTTTCCACTCTTCGACGAGAGAAATTTCAAGCACAAATGACCACACCAGACTGTGTTGTAATCCTGTTGACGGTCATAGTTATATACGATTTTGATAGCTTTTGATCCCCTCCTTAAATATTTCACCAACTCTTCGGGTGGCGGCAAATCGCCATAACTATCATAATATTCGACTACCCCACCACGTTTTTTATAAGCAACCCAATGTGTCCCTTTACCTCGAATACCATCGAGATTCAGAATGGCTGATTCTATGTGGCGCGGTGGAGAATTTGGTAGATTATCTCTCATAAATATACCTCGAAAGTTTGGAACACCCATTTTCTCTATGTATTGTGATAAATCGATGTCCGTCAACGCCCTTCGAGGTAACCCTGCTAGTTTTTTGAACTTTGCGGCTTCAAGTAAATGCCCAGTCCTTTTCGGTACGGCTTCAAATATACTCCTTTACCGATCTTTCCTAGAGCGATCGCCTCCAAATGTCTATTATGACGATTCGCTTCAGAGAGTTGCTCCCTACCCTCTTTAGCTGAATTAATAGCTCGAGCTATACCAGCACTACCTGCAGCCAAACTCCCCAATGCCGATAATCCCGCAAAAATGGGTATGAGTGGAAGAATTCCTCCAACTTTAGGAATTGGTATAATGCGAGGTGTTCGGATATTATTCTTTCCACCAGCCATCTTGACGAATTTTCTAGCAGCTCCAATCGCCATAAGAGAAGTCTTGGCCAAGTTTTTGGCGAGTGCCCCCTTCTTTCCCACTTGTCGCAACACATTGCGAACTTTGTGCACTATGCCGGACCCAAAAGCAATTTTTCTCCCACTCTTGGTAGTATTCTTCTTCTTCCTCGACACTCGACGTTTCTTCACTCCGCTGCTGCATCCCATACCAAAACGCCTCTTTCCCTTCATTATATTGGTAACAAGCCAAGATGCGGCCCTCTCTCCTGCAGATGCGTCCTTTGATTTAACACGTTTCCACGCGGATTCTTCCAATTCCTTATCGGCAGAATGCCTTGCAGATAAATCGTTCGGATGCTTGAAATATGCGATATCGTGTTCCTTGCACGCTCTATCTAATTGGTTAATGCCTGGATCACCTCGAGATAATCGTTTCTGTAACTTTGTTCCAGGACCACAATACTGATAGCCGCCGGGAATATGTAATTCGACCGGTAATTTATTAATTAAAGTATTAACAAATCCTCTGCCAGTCCTCTTTCCTCGAAAACTTTTTTCACCGTTATCGCTTGCCGATGTGTATCGCTTCAGCTTCATAATATAAATGACATTCACAGAGTTTGCGATTCATTATATAGCATTTGACCATCATACAATGCAGATTGTTCAGCAGCAAGAAACATTGCGAGTTGACAACTTCGATGAAAAAGTAGGGTTAGGAAATGGTATAATTACACAACGTCGGCATGGATTCCTACTACCTAATACTATACGCAGTCTCATTATCGGCCCATCAAATTGCGGCAAAACGAATGTTATGATATCCCTCCTCACCAACGATAATGGTTTGCGATTCGCCAATGTTTATCTCTATTCAAAATCGTTGTATCAACCCAAGTATGAGTACTTGCGGAAAGTATTGGAACCGATAAAGGGACTGGGGTTTTATACATATAGTAATAATGTGGACATTGTTGAACCGGAAGATGCGAAGCCACACAGTATTTTCATATTCGACGATGTGATATGTGAAAAACAAGATGTAATCAGATCATATTTCTCAATGGGGCGCCATAAAAATGTGGATTGCTTTTATCTAGCACAAACGTATTCGAGAGTGCCGAAACAGCTGATTCGCGATAATTCCAACTTCATAATCATGTTTAGGCAGGATGATATGAATCTACACCACATTTATTCCGATCATGTATCTCCAGATGTAACATTTGAACAATTTCAAGAAATGTGTGCACAAAGTTGGACAGATAGATACGGGTTTCTCGTTATAGATAAGGATAGTGAAATTCATGAGGGCCGTTATAGGAAAGGGTTCGACTGCTTCATATACCCCTAAAACAGCAACTGCATGGACTTCATTCAACCTTTGGATAGCACAATGAGCACACCTAGTAGTGAAATCGCTTCAGAAATACACCTCAAACGCCAACTTGTTGAAGCAACCGATGCGGTAAGGAATAAATTTAAAAGTCTCAAGAGCGAACTCACCAGTAACCAAATGATGTTAGAAAAAGCTTATGAGCCGCTGACAAAACCATTGAAGGTTATCACCGCGGCAGCAACGGCGGCAGTAGCCAAGCAAAATCTAATGCCAGCAGCTACTCCGAAGAGTTATAGCAAACCTTCAACGTTGACAATAGCACACCCGACATATTATTCCACACCAATATCGAGTAATGAGGCGAATGCTGTAGCGACGAAGCCGTTCAAGAAACATGGGGAGTCTGGGAATTTCAGCAATAGCTTTCAACCGCTACCATCATCGCCTCATAACGGAGGACCTAAGTATACAACTCTATTGGAAACACCACCAACATCTTCGTCTCAAATTTCAAGCAGTGATATTACAGTGTATCCTTCTGTAGATGGAACAACCGCGAGCGACTTACAGGGCAAAATAATGGAGCATTTGAGGAATTTGAAAGAAAATAACTCGAATTATGATACAACATATGGCGTTCACATCGATTCCAAAACAGGGGAATTGAAAATGGGTAATATGGAAATCCGATTTCCTGCAGACCAAATCGAATTATGGCGCGGTAATAAGAGAAGCGTAGCGTTTCCAGCAACAACTGGATTATACGATTTGATCTTTATGAAACATGTGCCAAGAACTATCGATGATCAAGATAAAAGAATATACACCACTTTGTTGGAGACTACACGAGCGCCATATAAGAATTATGACATCAGAGAAGGTTTGAATAATAGTGCGAGGAAGAAATATCAGCTAGTCATAAAGCCATTAATCGGCACACCGCATAAAATGAGGAGTCAACTCCTGTTAAATGAAGTTAAAGGTGGTAGAGGAATAAGCAAATCATTACCATACAGAAAAGTCGTGAGTAAACAACACAAAGAGTATGCTTATTGGAATGAAGCAAAAGAGCTGGTTGACCGCCTCCGACTACTGTGGGGTTCTAAAATGGCTGGCCACACTGGACACGATAATGAGATAATGTCAATAATAGAGGAGTTGCGCGAAGAAGGCATCGTTTATTAATGTTATTAATGTATATATATAT